AAAAAAAAAAAAAAAAAAAAAAAAAAAGTAATGCAATTAGGAGCGAAACCCTCCATCTGGCCACTCTCCCTTGATCAACAACTAGGGAACATTTGGAGGGAGCCAACTGATTTTCTCACCCAGGAGAGGCACTGAGCATTGGTGTCCTGGGCTGCTCCCTTGTCCTTTAACTTTAATCTGACACCTTAGCTTCTAGTTGGAATTAACCATTTAGTTCTGATACTCCTCGGAGTGTCATTTCCAAGCGTGAAACACCCTTTTGTGTTTTTTTGTTTGGTTCGTTTTCCATATTTTTTATATATTTTATTCTGACATCATGTTTTTTTAAAAACAAAAGGATGCAAACATTTGCACTTATCCGTGCCTTTTTCCATGTGGTCTGATTTCAGTACTGCCCATTTGCTGTGCAATACTCCAGTTGGGCTTATTCATTGATTAGCTGCATAATTTCTTCTACATTTTTAACAGACACAGCATACATAGGATTTCAGTTTGGGTTTTTCTTTCCTTTTTTTTCTTTTTTTTAAATAAGTGTGTTTCCTGCTTCTTATTCATATTTTTTCTTTGAATATATTGCACAATATTTTATTATTGAAAAAGATTTTATGTCTCAGGGAAAAAGTTTTTCTCCTTCACTCAGAAGGTGCTAATGTGCATTATCTACTAAAAAAGGTAAGTGATTGGGCCGGCCGGTGGCGCACTGCTACAGTGCGCCGCTTGGGAAGTGTGGTGGCGCTCCCGCCAAGGGTTCGGATCCCACGTACAGACCGGCTGCTCAGAGGTGCGAGAGCAACACCGAGGGTTGCGATCCCGTTGCTGGTCCCGGTACGGGCGCGACACTGAGGGTTGCGATCCGTTGCCAGTCACGTAAAAACACACACGGAAAAAAAAATAAATAAATAAAAAAGGTAAGTGATTATCTGCATGGCCATTCTCAAAGGGGACAATTGATGGGCTTATAGGATCCAAGTCTGAAACGACAGCAAATTATTTCTACTATACATTTTCCAATTCCATGTAACAAGTCTGTTGTTGAAAAGATTCCTCCAATGGGTATCACAGTCTTAAAAATCTGCTGAATACCACAGAGTCTTACAAAAAACTGCCAGAATGGCATGTGCTCCTCGGTAACTGTCACCATAAGAGAACTGAGATCGTATTTCATAAATATCTCAGAGACTCCATGGCTGCCTGCAGCATGGTTTTAAAGTCATGATTAACAATTACTGCCAAATGTGCATGACCTCGGGGATTCCTTGTCCACAGTTATGTGGAAATTTCCTGCTACCTTATTGACATACAGATGACCATAAATTTTGCATGCATCTGGAAATTGCGATGCATCATCTGCCCTTGGTGGAAGTGCTGTTGATGCAGTTTTAAAAATCACATCATGAAGTGAGTGCTCTTCTTGCAGCCTACTCTACATCAGCTGCAGCATCCTCTGCCACTCTTTTTGTTGTGGTGAAAGATCAAATATTGCTGGTTCATAAACTAGACCATCTGTAGCTGCAGCCATTATTTCTGCTAAATCTGCTCCAACACACTGACACTTCATGGCAATGGTAATATCTGTATTGATTCTCAATTTGCTATAAAAATCCTTGTGTACTCCATATTCATATTTCATCCATGTATCTTGATATACTGAAAATTCCAGTATATGGAATTCCAGTATATGGTTAATAAATCCATAGTGGTAAATACTATAACAGAAACTGTATCCCCACTGGCTGAAGTCTCTACATTGTCAGGATCTTTGAAAAGGCATCTGAGTCTCACCAGCTTTAAGGTTTTTTTCTGATTCAGCCACCTCATCTTCAGGAAAACCTTCATATAGTCATGCTTGTGTTATGGTCCCAGCCAACCACCATGTTTCATAGAAGCCTGGTCGCCCAGTAATAGACTTTGGATGTATTGTCCTCTCAAAACTTACGTGGAAATCTGATCCCCAATGTAGCAGTTTGGGAGCTGTTTGAATCATGGGGGTGGATCCCTTATGAAAGGATTAATGCCCTCTGTGGGGGTAGTGAGTTCTCCCTTCATTAGTTCCTGTGAGAGCTGGTTGTTTAAAAGACCCTGGCACCTCCCATCTCTCTTTCTCTCTTGCTTCTTCCCCTTGTGTGATCTGCTTGTACCCATCTGCTACCTGCCACTCTCTGCCATGAGTAGAAGCAGCCTGTGGCCTGCACCAGATGCAGCTGTCTCAGAATCATGAGCCAAATAAACCTATTTTCTTTATAAATTACCTAGTTTCAGATATTGTTATAGCAACACAAAAATGGACTAATACAGAAAATTAGTACTAGAGAAGTGGCATGTTGCTTATAACAAATACTTGAAAATGTGAAAGTAGCTTTGCAACTGGGTGTTAGGCAAATGTTGGAGGAGTTTGGAGGACTCAGAAGAAGACAAAAGACGAGGGAAAGTTTGGAATGTTCTAGAGATTGGTTAAATGGTGGTGACCAGAATGCTTATGGAAATATGGACTCTGATATAAATGAGAAGGGACTTACTAGAAACTGGAGCAAAGATCAACCTTGCTATGAACTGGCAAGGAACTTGGCTGCATTGTTTCCATGCCTTACGACTTTGTGGAAGTTGAGACTTAGGAGTTGTGAACCAGAGTATTTGGTGGAAGAAATTTCTAAGCAGCAAAGCATTAAGGAAGCTGCATGGCTACTTGCCACAGCCTACACTGAGTTATGGCAGAAAAGGCATGATGTAAAGCCAGAATTTAAAAGGCGAGCAGAGTGTAAAGATTTAGAAAATTTGCAGCCTGGACATGTGGTGGAGAAGCAGAGAACATTTTCAGAAGAAAAATCCAATG